CTGGGAGGTGTAGTAAATATGTTTGTCAATTGGTCTTCACTTTGGCAGTACTGCAACTCTATTGTCCCTTCATTATTGAGATCTCGCAGGAAATAGTACTTCACATTGATGTGTTTGCTTCTTCCATGTAAAACATGATTTTTTGACAGCTTAATGGCAGAATTGTTGTCGCAGAAAATTGTAGTTGCTCTTTCTTGTTTGAATTGTAATTCTTCAAGAATTCTCCTCAACCAAACAGCTTGACAAGCACAAGCTGTAGCAGTAACAAATTCCGCTTCAGTAGTCGATAAAGTGACAATTTGTTACTTTCTAGAAGATCATGAAGCCTGAAGTGCTCTTTCTATCGTCTTGATCTCCTGCATAATCGCTATCAGCAAAACCAATCAAATTAAATTTTTCACCCTTCTTATAGAACAAACCAAAATCCTTAAATCCTTGTAAGTAGCGATGGATTCTCTTGGCAACTAGCAAGTGAATTTCTATTGGGCTCTCCATATATCTGCTTATAAGACTTACAACATACATGATGTCAGGCCTTATAGCAGTAAGATACATCAAACTACCTACAATTTGCTAGTAGAGTGTGTTGTCTACCATATCTCCTATTCCAAATTTGTTTAGCTTCGAACCAAAATTAACTGGAGTATCGACGGGATTGCAATTCTTCATCAATCTAAAATTTCCCGCACATATTTCTTTTGGGAAACAAATATCCCATCAACAGATTGCACGATTTCTAAACCAAGAAAATAATGCATCTTGCCAAAATCAGACATCTCAAATTCATTCATCATAGATCTCTTAAAATCATAAAACATGACACTATCATTTCCAGTAAATATAAGATCATCAACTTATAAACACACTATGAACACTTTTTCAAATTCCCCAATTTAAACAAAAAGAGAGTGTTCATATGGACATTTCTGGAAACCAAATTTTAGAAAGTAAGCCTCAATGCAACTATACCAAGCTCGCGGAGCTTGTTTTAGTCCGTAAAGAGCCTTTTTCAACTTGTATACCTTATGCTCATCTCTAATTTTTATGTAAACAGAAGGTTTCTCGATAAATACCTCTTCTTCCAAGTATCCAAACGAGTTTAAACAAATGACAGATATCAGTTGGCATGTAACAAAAATTGATTTTAGGATTAGTATTATGAGTTTGTTATAACGAAAATGGTAAATATGTTCTATTTGTTAGATGATGAGGGTATATTATATGTGTCACTTCTTAACAAGGAATATTAATTCTAAACCGCAAAGTTGAAATATATATATATATATATATATATATATATATATATATATATATATATATATATATATATATA